TTCTTCTTCTTCTTCTTCTTCTTTTGCAATTAAGCAAACATGGTAGTCAATAAGCAAACCTGCGGAACTTAATGGGCACTTTTGCCAAAGATAGGAAGTAAACGCCAATTTCTGATGGAAAAAAAAAAACTGTTGCAAATCATGGTAACATGACTGTGGAATGCAAACAGCCATAAATGCGAACCAACTGCCAAGTGTCCCAAATGTGATCATTTGGGGGGGGGGGGGCGCGAGTGGCCATCCGAACTTTGAAATTGAGTCATAAGTAGGTCTGGGGAGGTCTGTTGTAACATACAGCAATTGCTAAGCAATTGGTCATAAGTTGAGGACTATCTGAATGATTGCAAAGAAGGCATCCTGAACATTTCATGTGGGTACCAGGAGCCACTTCGACTGGAGGGAATTCATTGCCTTTAACGACCAAACTGACAAGATTTGGCCAATGAACCAAAGACCTTTTCTATACCCTTTGACCTACAATTTGCCTCTTATAACAAAAAAAGAAAAGAAAAAACAAGCCATTATAACTAGCCCTCAATTGATGACCACAACTGAGCCCCTAATTTCTGTCGGTAAGTGAATTTTGCCCCATTTTACGACATTTCTCGCCACAGTTGTTAAGCAAATCGCTGCAGTTGACAAATTGGTAAACCGGCTGTTAATCTGAATCTGGCTTCCCCATCGATTTTGCTTGTCAAAAAGTTGCAAGAGGTTGTTAAGACCTCAGGGAAATGGCAAAGGCCGTTAGTATGAAGTAGTTACCAAGCATCGATCACGGGGATGCTACAAAGGTTGTAAGTGTGGAAAGTGGTCATAATTCACTTTTTTCAGTGCCGCTGTAACTTCGAACGGTCACTAAATGAACCGTTGTAGGTCGAGGACTACCTATATAATTCTGCTATATCTCTCATAGCATACAGGGCTATGCTAAGCCTGTTGACAGCTCAGCCAATACAGAATTACACTGAACTGTAACATCCACTAGTAGCCATGAAAATATTATGAATATATGTGGGAAAATACCTGCACTGGGATCTTGGTCTTGCTGTGGGTAAGAAGTGAAACAGATCACGTGGATCTCAGGGAACCGACTCTTGAAATAATACTTCCAGGCCACCACCAAGGCTGGTGGGGCCAGATCAATCTTATTCAGTACCAAGATGAGGTTTCTCTTCATCTGCTTGGTGACAAACTCATAGAGGGCCGGGGAGAAGTTGATGACCTGAACAAGAAAGGTTTGAGAAAGGGAAAAGATAGAATGGGGAGATTTAGAAAAATAAGGCATCATTCAGATTTCAGTTTTCTAGAAATGATTATATGTGGTGTGTGTGGTGTGTGTGTGTGTATATATATATATATATATATATATATATATATATATATATATATATATATAT